TCCCCCGAAAACAGATGAACAACTAAGCCGCTGGACCTCTCAAACCGACGTCGCATTCGTCGATTCCACGTGAATGTCTCTGCAACCTGATCCTGAGTTGAAGCTACCGCATGATCAAGCAGCTCCTGAGGGGTATCCGCGAACACATTCCCTACAAGCTTCCTCAAAGCAGCATCTGCCTGAACGTTTCTTTGAATGATCAAGGCTGCCAGGTCTGACTTACTCAAATCAATCATGTCCCTCATAAGGCAGCTCATCCGGGCCTCCCGATTTGCAGTTTGGTGCACAAGCTGCTCAAAGCGATCAATCAGATCCAATGCCTGTGTTTCTGAAATCTCTGGACATCCCGACTGAACATCCACATCAAGATCACCCTCAACCGGATGCCAGATTCTGCAAACTGCATTGTTCCACTCCAGCTTGTAGCCTAGGCTAAGCACCGCCCTGACTGAAACTATTGGAGATACCGGGCTTCTACTCAGCAGGACTCCAGCTTCATTCATCAGTAGCGTACACTCCCCATATGCTAGTTTCACTTGAATCTCGGGGAGATGCAACTCCTCATGCCTCGCTGTTCGCAAACAAGTTGTAGCGCCGCCGTCTATCAGACCCTTTGGCTCACCACTCTGAACCCGACACAGCATGCTAGCAAGCGGCCGCACCTGAGAGGACAATGATGCCAACCTAAGACTTTGCAAAAGCTGAGCTGCTTCCTTGATAGCCTCCTCAGACAAGCCACTCGTACCCTTTCCCGCGCTGGAGGGCTTGGAAGGCGGTGCTTTGGCATTGGCTGCTCCCGGCTTGGCACCTCCCTTGGAGTCACCCCCAGATGGCTTGCCCTTACCCTTTGGTGCCTCGGATCCCGACCCCTTCTGAGCGCTGCCGCCCCCTGGAGCAGTGCACTCTGCTTTGGCATGTGATCCTCCGCACGTCCAACATTTTCCGGGCCTTTCAACTGTATGAGCGAATGTGCATGATTTACCGAACCTGCACCCGGCGTCCGTAACCCACGCTCGACAGGCAGCCTTAGGCTTAGCTTCGGACTTAGGCTTAGCGGGTGCACCCGGGGTCTCAGCATTCTTGTTATCATCAGCCCCCTTAACGCCACCTTTACCCTTGTCCACAGCAGCAACCCTCTGGCGTTTAGCCGACGAGTCAGGCATTGCAACCGCTAACAATTCGAACTCAGCAAGCAATGCAGCCACATATTCCTCTACACGATTGTGGTCAGGAACCGTATCAAGCTGCAACTGCATTCGAACCGCATACATCCGGAACGAAAGGGACGGGTGCGACTGCAGCAAGACCTGCACACTCTTATCAATCCCCTGAAGCAACAAAGAGCTGTCTGGCACTGAGATCTGCATGGATTTCGCCCGATCCAAATGCCGGCACCATTTCTGGAGAATGCCCACAGCGGTGGGCGCGTCACTGCTGATATCCAAATTCGTCAGTCCCTTCAGCAGCTCCCCCCGCTCTACCAGTCCACCTGGCTGATATGTCTTCATCGTAAGGAACAACAATCCCGTACAGGTAGTGTTACGGTGAGACAATGCCATATTGTAGATAGACTCTGGCAACGCCTTGGTCAACATAGCAAGCCCTCTAGCCTCCAACCGAACAAACATGTCACCCGACAGCTTATCACTAGGAGTGCCAGTAATCTTCGCACGCTGCAACGGGGGCGCCTTACACCAAGCATCATAAGCAGCCTTTGCTTCATCAACTACACATTTCCACCACTCATGCCCTTTTGGAGCAAGGTCGGCCATCGAAGACTTAATCTTATGCAACCAATCATTGCACCGCATTGCCGGACAAGCTTCGCTTACAGGCCCCAGGCGGGGCAGTTCCCACAGCGTACGTTCCCCAGGAAGAAAGTCCTTAGGATGATTTGCAACCTCACTAGTCACTGCAGCCTGACTATCTTGCCTCTCCTGAACAGACAAACCACCACCACTCCTTGAAGCCTCAGTTTCACCTCCCACTGGCGGGGAAGGTGGCGGAGCACCCTTCGGGATGCGTGTACCTCCTGGCGTGACTGGGGAAGCCTGCACAACTCCAGACATATAACGAGGACCACGGTTGGCACTCGAGGCTGCTCGACTGGGGCTTCGGTTCATTGGGCTGCGTCGTGACTGAGGCGACCTACTAACACGGGGATATACAGGCGGAGGTGGGGGAGGTGGACTTTCCGCTGCGGCCCTAAACGGTGATGTAGCTTTAGCACTCCAAGGACCCTGAAGATCCCCTTGCGCAAGTGATTCCCCTGCAGGTGACAACTGAGCAGGCGCCTGCACCGGCGGCGGTACAGGACTTCCACTTCTGTCAGGCGGATTCACTGGCGCAGTGCTGTCAGTCAGGGCAAAATACTTAGGGGCTTCCGGAGTCAGAATCACAGACCCTTGACTATCGTAAACACCTACCCTTTTAACCCCATTAATCCAAACCTGCACCGTAGTTCCCTCCAAACCACTTCCCCTCATCTCATCCCCAATTTGCTGCAGACCAATTGACGGTCCATGATGTGCTGGCAATGCACTTGCAGTTTGGGTTCCCAGAGACTCGGAAGTAGGGTCATTACCACAACCCAACCTAACATCCCTAACCCTCCCGGCATCACCACGCTGACTCTGTTCAAGGAGACCTGCTTCAACCTCCATAGGCTGAGGAACTTGAAAGGTTGAATCTACCTGAAACCACGAAGGATGCATCTCTGAAGGCTCGTCTCCATGGGACGTCAACGACAAACTTTGCATGGCCCTAGTAGCTTGCAAGAAACGATCCCCTGGTCCGCTGCCTGGCCTTGCTGGTATCACCTCATCCTGTGACTGCTGAAAAGAGGTCCATGGAGGATGGAAGACTCGAGAGCTGCCGGCATTCTGGTCCCTAGAACCCTGACCACCAATACCCTTACCAAGCTTAATCATACTCTCTAGGGCTCCACCCCCTCTCCCTTCAAACGCAGCTACTTTCTGACGGTGACCGTGTTTAATGCCACCAACAGCATCACCAAGGTTTGATGCACTAGCAGCAGATTGTCCTACCCTACCGTCGGTCCTACCAACAGCAGTTCCCTTTAAGAACTCTCTACCGCTTTGTCCCGACTCAGCAGAGCTCCTCGATCCGGCATCGCCTACCTCTCGTCTCAACAGCTCATTCTGATCCATCAGCTGGTACACCAGCCGCTCCAGAAGCTCCATCCGACCCCCAGATTCAGCATGCTGTCCCAGCTGAGCTTGTGAAAGTCCCTGAGGCTCAAGAGGATGACTCCATCCAGCACTGAAGTTCCCAGCACCAGAGGATACAGGTCGAAGTGACTTACGACCATCGCCGTTAACAAGAGCTCCACTCGAGTGCTCTCCCAGTCGCTCCGACCTACGATGATCGGAAATATCAGCTTCTGCAATCCTCCCAGAGTTTCCTGAACCAGACTGTCTCATATCACGAGTGTCCCCATCAGGTGAGCCAGCGCCCTCCACGGACTCAAACTCATACTCCGGCTCCAACCCCTCAACACTGTTCAGCACATCCCGTGCCTCTTGCTCAGGCGTACGTTGCCCAGGCGCAGTGTATTCAACCTCCTGAATAATTCTGGAACCCTCCTGGAAAAGATTCCTCTCACCAACGGATTCCGGTCCGCCTGAGCCCCCTTGATCGTTTGGATTTACAAGGGTCCCAGGTCTTACATCATCTGCGTAGCCCGACTGCTGATACTGCGGCTCATCTGCAGAACCAGCGGACTCCATGGCGGAAGCGCAGTGCTACGAACCACTTGGGCTCATAACCTGCCGATTGGCAGGCAGGCACAAGCACTGACTGCAACACACTGCCTTTTCCAGCAGCGCACAACTCAACGAAGAAACCTGAAAGTCGTCTCCTGTAGCTCTAACTTCGAATGTTGAACTATCTGTACAAAGCATGTTTTACACAATCTGAATTCGAAAGATGAGAGAGTAGGTGGAGCCCCTAGCACCAGGACCTTACTGGACCATCCTGCCTTTGACTCCTAGTCTTTGAGCACATACTCTGCAAGCATCGGTCACCTTCATTGCGCACAGAGGGTTGACACCTGATGCAGGTCTGCGCACACACAGTCACTAATTATTTGAGGCCCCTACATTAGGGTCATGCCGAAGCCTCTGGATCTCTTAGAAGCCTAGACCTAGATCCAGGGCTCAAAGTCCGAAGAGTGTCATCCTTTAAGGGTTCCTTTAAGGGTTCCTTTAAGGGAAGGGTTCCTTTAAGGGTTCCCGTAAGGGTTCCTTATAGGTCCTTTAAGGGTTCCTGTAAGGCTTCCCTTAAGGGTTCTTTTAAGGCTTCCCTTAAGGGTTCCTTTAAGGCTTGCCTTAGAGGGTTCCTTTAAGGGTTCCTTTCGGGGTTCCTTGAAGGGTTCCGTGAAGGGTTCCTTTAGGGGTTTCTTGAAGGGCTCCTTTAGGGGTTCCTTTGAGGCTTGCATTAGGGGTTCCCTTAAGCCCATAAGCCCTGAACCCTGCATCCTGAACCCCATACCCTAAACCCGGAAACTTGAGCCTTCCACCCCTAAACCCTCCACCCCGCAGCCTTAACCCCGAACCGCCGGCCTTTAAAAACCTGAGTCTCGTTTGCCAGAGCCTTCCGGCGTGCAGCCCTCATCCTACTGTAGGGGTCGAAAGGATTAGCAGTATATTCCTTGGGCCGTTGTAGCTATCGTACACTGTAGGGGTTTAGCGGTTAACGTTTAGGGTTTGCAAGTGAGAGTCACTTCGCTGCTCCCACGCAGATGTGTGTCTGCAGCTATTGTGATCGAGACGTCTGCAGGGGAATGCAGGAAAAAGCCCTGACTGCTTAGCTGTTAGCGCCTCGCCTGCTCACGCAACGGTCTCGTCACTGCTCAGCTTGAGATAACGATCAGCGTGCTACCCGCTTGCATGGTAGCGGAGCCTTGCTCCAGAGAGCGAGGCTGATATCGATCCAGGGAGTTAGCCGGCAGGTCATCTTCTGCTTGGGCCGAAGAAGACATGTCAGCGGGAAACACGCAGATGAGCAGGAACAAAGACGGAGTGCCTTTGTGGGATGGAGATCCATCCACCTACACGGAGTTCGCAGAATCCGCACGGCTGTATGAGCAATCGGTGCCGCCGTACCAGCGAGCCCAAGCTGGACCTCGCATAGCGGCGGAGTTGACTGGCGCTGCACGGCGCTATGTGACCGGTCAACCAGCAGACTGGCTGTCGTACCAAGGAGGTGTCAATCGACTTCTCGACCACCTTCGTCAGGGTTTGGGCCAGCCTCGCATTGTGGAAGTTACCGAGCACTTGAATCGCTACTTCAAGGCCAGTCGCCGGAAGGCCGGCGAAACAATCAATGAGTACTTGGCGAGGAAGAATGAGATCTACTTGAGGGCTCAACAGGCTCTTCAACGAGTGCTTCCACATCAAATGGCGAAGCCCTCTGGCGGGGAGTCTTGGAACAACCAGCGGTTGGGACAAGACCCGGCAGGATGGAGTCGTCGTACCTCCATGGAGTCTCAAGGAACGGAGGCTGATGGCGGTGTGGAGCCATCCGATGGCACCACCCAGGCCGGTCCTTCTTCGACGACGTGGTCCGATGATGCTTGGCAGGGAGGCTCACACTACAGCTACTGGTCATGGAACAGCAGCTGGCAGGCACCATGGTCCTGGGATTCCTGGTCCTCCTGGGACTGGAGTTCAAGGATGGACAGTGTGAAGCTGCCAGAGCTTCTTCCTGACTTCGTCCAGGGCTGGATCTTGTTGCATGACGCCAACTTAGATCAACAAGAACGGAACTTGATCCAGACTGCGGCGGGAGATAACTATAGTGTGGCCTCAATATCGCAAGCCCTTCGTGCTCAATTTCCTGAAAGCGATCTTCGTCGTCGAGATCAAGGGCGTCGACAACACGGACTTTTGGGAGATTGGGAAGGTGATGATTTCGGGGAGGCGGACGAGAAGACGGACCTGGAGTTTGGCCTCACCGCGGAGGAGACCTTGACGGAAGAGGGGTATGCTATGTGGGCGTCGGCACAGGGTGAGCTGGAGAATGCTTTGGCCACTCTGCAAGGTGCTAGGCGCACACTGCGCGAAGCACGAGCCAAACAACACACTGTGAAGATGAATCGACAGTATTACCGATCCAACAATCGTGGCTCGGCTTCGGGAGCTCCTCAACGACCTCGAGATGACTCCAGTATGACTTGCTTGGCCTGCGGAAAAGTCGGCCACAGGGCAGCGAACTGCCCCAGTCCGCCGAAGGCAGCCGCACATGTGACTCAAGAAGAAGCTCCTTTCGTGATGTATGCCAACGACCTGGAGGAGCAGGAGGGCATGTACGCGGAGAACCCGGAGGCAGAGCAGGCTTGGAGCGTGGAGCAACTGCAGTCCACGGCGGCAGCAGTGGACCAAGGCAAATGTGTCATCGACTCAGGAGCGACAAAGAGTCTTGGTTCGATCTATGCCTTGGAAAAGCTCATGAAGAGCAATCTGGAGACCAAGGGCTCGGCAGCGGTGCGCCAGGTGGACCGCGAGAACCGACCGGTGTTCGGATTTGGGAATTCCAGTTCTGATCGCTGCCTTTCGACGGTGACGATGGAGCTGGAGGCACGAGGACAACAAGGCCAGATGAAGATCCACGCATTGAACAAAGGCCAAGGGCCAGTGCTCCTCTCGATTGACGCGCTCAGGAAGATGGGAGCCCAAATCGACTTTGAGCACGATTTGATGGTCCTGAGCAAACTTAGCCGTAGACGAGTGATACGTTTGGAGCGCTCCAGTACAGGCCACCAAGTGCTCTCGCTGGCCAAGGATTTGTATGAGAACTCCTGTGAGGTAGACCGTGATGTTCCAATGCTGAGCGACCTTTTGAGCTCGCGTCCTACCCAAGAGTAGGGACAACTCCTTCCCCTATCGGCTCCTGACGAGAAAGGGAAGGTCAAGCTGTATAGTTCAGGAGTAGGGTGTAGTGACGGAGTAGGACATGTTCTTACTGCCGTAGCCAACTCTGGTGAGGAACTTCAGAAAGGTAGTGGTAAGCGAGTGTCTTTTGCGGTTTCACAATTTGATTCAGACCGTGTGGTTCGTGATGCTCCGAGTTCGCAGAGGACCAGTGTGGATCATGATCCTGGTGATCCTGCAGCGCAGCGTGACGGCTCAGAGAAAAACCGGACGCCTGATCCCTACCAGCTGCCACCACATGGCTCAGGGCAAAGTGTCGGATCTTCGCGAGCAGCTCGAAGCGATGGGAGAAGTGGCCCCCAGCAAGTGGACAAAGATCGAGCTCCTGCAGCGCATCGAGGAGCTGACGGGCAAGGACCTCTCAGTGCCCACGAAGAAGAGCAAGGAGATCTCGGAGTACCAGACCCTGGTTCGGGGGCTCAATCGGGCGGCCCGCTTGAAGTCCGAGTTGGTGGAATACTGCCAAAAGGAGTTGGGCTTCCTTCCGGGAGCCAATCTCACGATCGCACAGATCAAGCGGGAGGCCATGTTCCGGGTGTACGACCGAGCCACACCCGACCCCACGGACGCAGTCGGCTTTGGCAAGCACAGCAATTTGACTTACGAGGAAGTGAAGACACAACATGCGCAGTATTGCCAGTGGGTTCAAAAGACAGCTCAAGAGACCGAGTGCGACCCACGGCTGCGGAGGTTGGCAGGATGGCTCAACAACGACCCGACCGAGATCGACCGAGCTCGCCGGGAGTACCAGAAGAATGTGACCGAGCACAAGGGCCAGGCCAAGAGCGGCTACCCGAAGGAACCAGAGAGCCCTCGCGGGCTCAGTGTGGCAAAGGGTGCAAAGTCCGTGGCTTCGTCCAGTGGCGGCAGTCGTGTCTCCATGGCGAGTGCACAGCTTCAGGAGCTGATCCAGACGATGAAGTCGCTGCAGGAAGATGTGGCGGAGCTGAAGGAGGAGCGACCCCGCAAGAAGGTCCCCAACGAAGAGCAGGATCTCTCCACCACCAAGAGCTTCTCGATGGCATCGATGCCGAGATCCCCGTGAGCGAGGACGAGTTCGAGGGCCGAGGACCACTGAGTGCGTCACAACAGTTGAGCCGGCAGCTTAGCTTAGGTTGTGCCCGGAAGATAGAACAAGATTCATATGAAGTGGTCCCCAAGATTTTTGAAGGATTGGTGGCACACGAAAGGCCCTTTCTCATGGAAGTCGCGTGTGCCCCAGACAGCCGATTGACGGCTACCGTGCAGGCCTTGTGTCAGAAGGAAAAAGCAGCAACCCGCTGCACATCATGGAACAGCTGTGAGCTTGGAACTGACAAGGGAGTTGCTTTGATCATTCAGCGCATTCAGCATGAACGGCCTCGACATGTGTGGTTGAGTCCTTACAGCAGCCCCTTTTCACCCATGCAGAACGTGAACCAGCGTAACAAACAGCAACATGACGAGTTGAAGCAAAAGCGGAAGGAGGCGCAGAAGGCCTATCTTGGGGCTCTCAGCGTTGCTTATACGTGCCACCAACTAGGAATCCACTTCACTTGGGAGTGGCCCGAACACAATAACGCTTGGAGACTCCCTATGATACAAAAGATGATCCAGAAGTGCCATCTGTTTTCTGCCGTGACGAAGGGATGCAGAGTGAATCTGCGACATGTGAAGAATGATCGATTGATCCAGCGGGGATGGCGCATTGTTACTACGTGTGAACGTCTTGCTGATAGGATGAACATGCCATGTACGTGTCAGCAGAGCTATGAGCATGGTCGATGTGAAGCCACTGGGGTAGGTCACAGTAGTAACTACAGTCACGAGTATGCCAAACGGGTTGCGTTGGTGTTGCTTCAGGAGCAGAGTCATGGACAGGTTCTTCGGGAGATTCAAGGGGAAAGTAGTTTGTTGGAAGGCTTTGGGGAAGGTAAGGTGTGTCGTTGTTCTGAGACCAGTACGTGTGAGAACCAGAGGCCCTGTGGAATGTGTAACCCCCAGGTTCAGGCTCAGAGAGAATCCACGGAAGCTTCCCAACAAGAAAGCCCCAACCATGAGCTCGATGACTCTGATGCCCTTCCCGGAGCTTTGACCATGGAAGAGTACGAGGCCCTGATAAGTCACGACAGTAAAGAGCAAATTGAACATGAGGCCCGAGACCTTCTTCAACAACGGGAGTTTTCGTTTCGGATATGTAGTGACTTGATCCAGAAAATCCCCATCCAAGCAGTGCGCAAACACCGACAGATGCTCGGCGATGATCGTGCTGTTTACATGGTTCTGGGATTGTACTCGTACGGAAACCAGTATGGTGTGACGAAGAGAACGGCTATGTTTCCTCAGCTTGTGAAGTATCTGAACCATTTCATTCAACACCACAACCCCGAGGAAGTGTCCCGAACCTCTCTTGTCATTAATATGGACAACCAGCTTCCCTTACATACTGATCGTCATAATGTGCAACAGTGCGACAATGTTTTGATTGGCCTGGGTAGCTACACGGGAGGAGAGCTTTGGATTCAGCATGACCCTCGTAGAACCCCGAACCTTCAACAACAGAGCGTCAAGAGACTGCCAAACGGGCAGGAGTGTGTAGGAAGGAAGTGGGCGACGCATCACAAGGTGGTGCGATTTCGGCCAGGGTTGTGGCATGCCACTGAGCCGTGGCAGGGTCATCGAGTGGCGTTGACCTCCTATGTGACACGAGGGATTTATCAAGTTTCTGAAGAAATTCGGGATGAACTTCGGAGTTTGGGATTTGATTTGACTGGGATACCGGAGAAACAAAGCGCTCATGTAGGAGTTGAAAGGCCCGAGGCTCAAGTAGGAGAACCAGCTTCTAATTCTGCGGCTAGGAAAAAGGCGGAGGCCCAAATCATGAAGCAGTTGTACTTGTTGCATTCTGCTACCGGACATGGAAGCAACCGCGTGATGATAGAAGCCCTGAAGCGTAGGAATGCTACCCCACATGTTCTTGAACTGGCCCAGAAGTTTCGGTGTTCAGTGTGTCACGAGAAACAACGAGCTCCCCCAAGGAATCTCGCGTCCCTTGAAACATTGCCCCCAAAGTGGCAGACTATATCTGCCGATGTGGGCCACTGGGTCCACCCGGGCACCGGGGAACATTGGCAGTTTATGCTCGTGATTGACGAAGGGTCCAGGTTTCGGATTGGGAGATTTCTGAGTAAAGGGAGTAAGCAGCAACCGAATGCTGCCACGTGTTTGGACTACTTGCGTGAGGGCTGGGTTCAGGTGTTCGGTTGGCCAGGCGCTTTGAGACTTGATCCTTCAGGAGCATTTCGGAGTCAACAGGTGCAAGATTTCTGTGACAGACATTCCATCTACTTGGACCTCATTCCTGCGGATGCTCACTGGCAGATTGGGGTTTGTGAACAGGCGGTTCAAGGTACCAAACAGGTGATGGATAAGGTGTGTCAAGATCATCCTGAGTATTCGGCGGAAGAAGCGTTATCAGTAGCGATCCACACTTTCAACAGTCGGGAACAGATTCGGGGATTCTCGCCCATACAACATGCCTTCGGACGAAACCCAGACATCACAGGCCGCTTATTCAAGCAAGAGGGCCAGGTTTCAGAGGCAGTTCTGGTGGAAAGCGCGGACCAGGACTTTGAGAGAAGTGTGAGAGCGAGGGCTTCTGCTGAGAAGGCTTTGTGCGATTGGGTGACCCAGCAAAGGTTGAACAGGGCTTTCAATTCGCGGAGTAGGCCTGTGTATGACTACCAGCCTGGGGAACTTGTTTATTTCTGGCGAACACAAGAAAGTGGGAAGGGTCGCCGCAAACCAGGTGGGAAGCATGGCAGGTTTTTAGGGCCGGCCAGGATTTTGGCGACTGAGACTAGGAGGGATTCCAGTGGAGAGTTGCGTCCTGGTTCTGCGGTGTGGCTTGTTCGGGGTAGGGCTCTTCTGAAGTGTTGTCCTGAACAACTTAGGAGGGCTTCGGAGAGAGAGGAACTTCTCGAAGCTTTAGCCAAGGATACTCCCGAAGGAAGCACCCCATGGACTTACAACAAAGTTGTGGAAGAGATAGGGGGAAATCAGTATGAGGATATTTCCGAGGAGCGACCAGAGGCTGAGGAGTGGCACAGAGCACAGGATCCTGAACAGGAAGAAGCCCCTCCTAGGTTTAGGCTCCGACGTAAGCGGCCCAGTCCCCCGGAAACCCTTGAACCAGAACCTATGGAGGAACCAGAAGCCTCCATGCCTTCCCGCCCCAGTCGCAGTGCCCGCCACAATCCTACAGGCAGCGGGTTTAACGCCGAGGCCTGGTGGACTACTGTGCCTGAGGCATCATACGGTTCGGAGACAGCCTACTGGGCACATGAATCGGCTGCTGTGACCGTTGAGATAGAAGTCCCTGAAAGTAAAAGAGGCAAGCAGGCCATGACCAACAATCTAGCGGCGTATCTTGTCACGAATCTAAAGCGACGCGCTGTTGAAGTGAGTGAGAAGCGGTTGAGTGATGAAGAAAGGAAGGCCTTTCAAGAGGCCAAAGCCGTGGAGGTGAAGAATTTTATCGCTGCTGAAGCTTTTGAAGCATTGCCTCCTCATTTACGACCGCCAAAGGAAACTGCTATAGGCATGAGATGGTTGCTTACATGGAAAGTGAAGGAGGATGGCACTGTGAAGCCCAAAGCCAGAGCTATCCTGCTGGGGTATCAAGACCCTGGCTATGAACATAGAGCTACCACCGCTCCTGTTATGACCAGATTGTCAAGACAACTATTTCTTCAATTGGCAAGCAATCAGTCATGGAAAGTACACAAAGGTGATGTCACAGGTGCCTTTCTGCAAGGGCGAACTTATCCGGATCAACTCCACTGCATCCCTTGTGACGAAGTATGTGATGCCATGGGCATTGAGCGAGGCAGCATCACGAAACTGCGAAAAGCCTGTTACGGCTTAGTCGACGCACCATTGGAATGGTACCGTACCGTGGCAGAGTTCCTGGAATCCATTGGATTGGAAAGATCCTGGTCAGATCCGTGTTTATGGCTATGGCGCCCGGACGGTGTTCTACGAGGCTGCATCTCAGGACACGTCGATGATTTCTTGTTTGGAGGATCAGAGACAGACCAAGGCTGGCAGAAGATCTTAGAACTGATTAAGACCAAATTCCGTTGGGGGGATTGGGAGAGTGATCGCTTCGTTCAATGTGGCGTCCAAATTGAACAGGTTCCCGAAGGGTTCAGGCTTTCTCAAAGCAAATATGTTGAAACGATTCGCGAGATCCCATTGAGTTCCCAAAGGCGGAAAGAGAAACATGCCAGTACTACTGAACGTGAGAAATCCAGCCTACGTGCACTGCTTGGTGCCATCAGTTGGCACGCACAACAGGTGAGTCCTCATTTCTCAGCACCAGTGAGCTTGTTGCTTTCAGAAGTGGCGCAAAGCACGGTCTCTACCATCATGGAGGCAAATCAGTTGTTAAACGCTGTCCAGGCCCAAAAAGACCACCAGATGTTGGTTCATAAGTTTCATCCTGAAGAGAAGCTGTGTATGCTGGCGTGGGTTGATGCTTCTAGCCAGAACAGGGTTGATGGAGGCAGCACCCAGGGAATTCTGATTGCTATCGGACCTCAGACAATGCTGCAAGGCGAGGTTGGGAAGGTGTCTCTTGTTGCTTGGCATTCCAATCGGATCAGTCGTGCTTGCCGAAGTCCCGGAGCGGCTGAGTCTCAGGCCGCAGTTGATGGTGAGGATTTGCTATATCTAGCACGTTACCAGTGGGCTGAGATGACTCTGGGAGGCGTGGATGTCAGGAATCCTGATGAGAGTGTTCGGCGCATTGAAGGAGTAGTAGTCACGGACTCTCGCAATGTTTACGATAAGCTTCGTACTGAGGTTGTGTCGTTGAAAGGAGCTGAGAAGAGGGCGAACATTGAACTGCTTGCCTTGAAAGATTCTCAATGTCGCACAGGACTGCACGTCCGCTGGGTGCATTCAGAGGCTCAATTATCCAATAGTTTAACTAAACAGGGTGCCGGCCATGAATTAGTCCTCTTCTACAAGATGGGCTGCCAGTCGAGAATCGTGGAAGATGATGCGATGCGTTCTGCCCGACGACGGCGAGCTGATGGACTCGAACCCCTCATGAATCATGCGAGTTCTGAATCAAATACTCAAAAGTAGTTTCTGAAGTTCCGAACCGGGAGTAGGGGGGCATGCAAGTGAGAGTCACTTCGCTGCTCCCACGCAGATGTGTGTCTGCAGCTATTGTGATCGAGACGTCTGCAGGGGAATGCAGGAAAAAGCCCTGACTGCTTAGCTGTTAGCGCCTCGCCTGCTCACGCAACGGTCTCGTCACTGCTCAGCTTGAGATAACGATCAGCGTGCTACCCGCTTGCAGGGTTTACGGCTGTGAATAGCAGCTCTTCTAACTGGGACCTGGCACCTGGTGAAGAAGAGCATTGTTCCTTGGAAACCCTAAACCCTAAACCCAAAACCTAAACCCTAAACCCTAAACCTAAAACCTAAACCCTAAACCCTCGCGGGTGGACGTCAGGCTCGACGCTGGAGCCGTTACTCGTCTGGAGGGACTGTGGATGGACCGCGGCATGATGGTGATCGGCCGTGGTCCCATGGAAATTCTGGCAATGAACGTGGCAGTACTCCACACTGGCAGACTGCTCCTGAATGGCTACATGATGAAGGTCGTGCTCGTGAACGTGGTGGGTGGAGACAATCTGGACGCGGTAGCAACTGGCAGTCTGGTTGGGACGTACCCTACTGGTGGGTTCCGCCTTCGGATGACTGGCGACAATTTACTTCTGAACAACATCGTGATGTTCCTTGGCCCTCTTCCTCCTCGGCATCTACGCTTGGGTGGTATCGTGGACAACGTGAAGGTGAACAACAACATGGCTCTTCTTCGTCTTCGGCTCCATTTGGATGGAATGGGCAAACTCGAGAACGTGAAAGACCACATGGTTTCTGGCAAGCAGGTCGGTGGGTTCCAAGACAACGCACGGACTCTGAGGAACGTCTACATCGTGGTGGCCAGGGACCTGTGCGACTGGAACGCCGACAGCGGCGTGTGGAAGCTTGGGAGGATGGAAGCTTTCGACCGGCTGCATTCCATCGGGGAGTGCCTGGGATGAATACACCTGAGATGCGTGAACTTCGTGAACAAATGGGACGTGTACTACGTGAAGCTGCTGCTCCTCTTCGTGGACCTTCTGGAAGTGCTCCTCGTGGCGATGGACTACATCCTGATCGACCCCCTCGTGAACTTGGACACGGTCGTGCAAGTACTCCGGGTACACAATCGGCTGAAGACATTGGCATGCCACGTTGGACTGCAAGCCAATGGGATGATTGGGAGAGATGGCACAACCCCATGCTTCTGGCAAACTGGGTTGAGCGTGGTCCGCTGTCGTGGGAGTTTGTCGCTGAAGGGGGTGAGGATGACGAAGCTGTGCTGTCGCAGTTGAGTGCAGCGGAAACGCGCCTTGACATGCAGTCGAGTGCAGCGGAAACGCGCCTTGACACCACTGTGCTGATGCAGTTGAGTGCAGAAGAAGAGGAGCACCTCCATGATTTGGGTGTTCCTGACCAGATACGACGTGATATTCGTGACATGCTACGAACTTTAGAAAACCACCAGGCAGGTGACGTGGGTGCTGAATTCCGGTGGGGTCTACGGCGTTGGCTACAAGCCTGGCGTCGTGGATGTGAACAGGCGGAAGCTGTTGCACGCATACTGGAAGCACGTGTCGAAGGTCCCTTACCCTATTTTCCAGTGCTTCGTACTCCCCGTGAAATGGCGCAGCATGAAAGATGTGTGGCATTCAACCGGCAGTGGACTGCAGTGCTTGTGCCGCTGCTTGAACGCTTGGTGGACGTGGCTATGACGGCGGGATGTCCTCCTCCTGACAGTACAGGTGCTGCTGCTGGAGGTCCTACTGGTGGTGACGTTGGCAGTGCGGTGAGCGCATCTGGTGATGCTCCTGTGCGAGAGCGCTCTCGGTCTCGGGATGGTGGACCTGTCCGTGTGAGTTCTTCGTCCTCTACATCCTCACGCCCGCGAACACGTCGTGCAGTTCGTCGCAGTGGGGTGTCTGGCAGTGTTGCTACACGGGATAATCCTGCTCCTGGACGTGATGGTGGAGTCTCTGGTGGTGGTGGAGTCTCTGGTGGGAGTGATGGCATGGCTTCTGGCAGTGAGGGTGTCAGCATGGTGCAGCGACTACAACCTGAAGAAGCGCGTCGACTTCAAGGTCTGGGTGTTCGTCCGCAAACGGTGTTGGCATTGGGCCGTTTCCTTGAGAATATGGCCCAGTGTGAAGAAAATGCTGCGAATGCCGAGCTGGATGTTGCCACTGCACAGTGGTGTCTACATGCCGTGGAATGGTCTGTTCAACATGCCATTGCAATGCAGGATGAACTCCAAGTGATCTTGACACGCCGTCTTCAACGTTCTCCTGATGCTCTCCCGCTACCTATCGAGGAGCAACGTGGGGCGTCAGCACAGGCAGGCCATGAACTCATGGTTGGCCTTGCACGGAGCTTTCTCTTGGAACTTCATGAAAGGTTGTCTAACTGCTGGCTGGATCCTGAGCGACTTCCCGAACATCTACGAGGCATTCCACCCACCAGTGAAGAAGAACGTCCGAGATCCCGGAGTCCGCGTCGCCCTGAACGTGCTGTGGGTGTTGACAGTGGCGCGGTTGACACTGTTGGGGCCGAACTGGGACGTGCAAGTGGCAGCCATTCTGAGGGTGACGGAGACGCCATGGACGGAGACGCCATGGACGTGGCTGCGCTTATGCAAACCTTGAACATTGCTGAGGCGCAAGCACTTGATGATGAAATGGTGAGTGGACACTGTATTCATGCCCTGAGTGCTTTGCTGGAGCAATTCCGTGACCTACGTTTGCGTGCTGCGGACTGTGACGATGTCAACTGGTACGTGGGTGTTCTGACGGAGACACTTCGTACGGCTACTACGGCGCTTCGTGCGTTGTGCACTGTTCTTGAAGCACGCGAGGGAACTGTGCACCGGCTACCTCCTGAAGAAGATCGACGTGCACTTATGGGCCTGTCCGCGGAGTTCATTCGTGAAGTTGTCCAGATGGTGAATGGGTGTCTCGTCACTGGGATGGAAGCGGCCTGGGTGGATCCTTGTACTCTTCCTCTTCGTCTTCAAGCACTCCAACCAGAACCTGTTCGACCGGGTCGTGTACGTGATGCAGATTGTGAACGTTCTCGCAGTCCTGTACGTGCGGGAGTACGTGATGGTCGTGATACACAGATGGGTTCGGAGTTCTCTGAAGGTGATGAATGTGGTGAGGCTATGTCGTCTGTCGCAGATCGCATCGTTGAGGGTGACTTCTGAGGGGCGAACTGTTCTAAGTTGATGGCATACTGCCAGCGCAGCGGAAAGGGGCGCATGTCAACTTTAAAAAAAAAACCCAAACCCTAAACCTTAAACCCTAAACCCTAACCCTAGGTTCCTAGCGACCCGAAGCCTAAGACCTACCGAGCCACAAGTCCGAGGCTCCCCCAGCACTTTCGGTTTGCTGCCTCGAGTTTAGTTGTGGGAAGCAGTTGAATGTACTTGGAGGATCATGGGATTTAGTTAGTAAGGTTATAAGTACCTCAACTGGAGTTATAAGTTATAAGTAGGTATAACTATTGTTACCCTATTTATAAGCCTAATTACTAAGTCCCATGATCCTCTGAGTAGGGGAACCGAGCGGTGTCTTGAGCAATTAGCAACACGGTTGATGATATAAATGATGTAAATCCTGTATTCGCCATAATAAGGAATATGCCAGATTTCCCATAGTCTAGGACCAATAAGGTAATGCAGGATTTATATCACCAACCGTACCTTTCGGTAGTCATGTAGTCAGAATCTATGGCATAGAAACCCTCAGAATGCTCAAACCCCACTGTAGTACCGAAACCCCTGGCCGTAGCCCAGTCCAACTATTCAGGATCTGTCTTCTTGAGAGCATGGCTTGTTATGTGGGATACAAGGGGGAGAGGACTGTTCATGGGAGGGCACGACAGTGTTTGGATACTGTAGGGGGTGGGTCCCCAGAAGAGTGCGCGGATGTCAAGCCGTTGGAAGTGTCAGGCTCTGCTGAACTTCAGTGAGCTTCAGCGAACGGAGGCTCTTTTGCCCACCACGAGACTTGGTTGGCGTTGGATCTTGGGAAGTCACACCCAGAACCCCGACAGACTCAACTCCCAATCAGAGACACCCAAACCCATCAAGGCCTATGAGAGCTCTACGAAACTCTATGAGACCATAAGCACCAGCACCAGCCCCTTTAAACCCTTCAACTCCCCCAAGCCCTGTTAAGCCACGAGGGTGTCTTCGGCTTCGCTGCGAGCTGACGGAGCGCGACATCCGTGAGAGACCTTGGGCTTTGGACTTGGCCGAGTGCAGGCTGAAAATGAAGCTGCTAGGTGGCACTTGGGGAAGCTTGTTGGAGTTTCGTTTGTGGTCCGTAAACGAGGTACCTATTCATAAGCTGCTTTTTGGGGGCGCTTTAATTACAACCCAGGTTTGGATGTTTTTTCTTGAATGCCTGTCGAAACGTTTGTGCTTCAACTCGGGCTCATCGTCTTGCAGCCGCAATGTGCATGCCGAGTCTGCGCCGCGACATTGTGAGATCGAAGGAAGAGGACGGACGATAAGGCGACGAAGCTTGAAGTGCCGCAACCCTCAATTCAGGATTCCGATCTTTTTACGATCCCGTCCTTAGGAATGCGTGGCCCTGTGGATTAAGACTGTGGGGTCAAGGTTGATCGTTAGGAGCGATCTTGACCGTTGGCCGGCTGTGCGTGTTTCGTGTTTGGAGCAGAGTGCCTTGAAGCTTGAGAACCGTGAGAAGGGTCACACAGCGTCACTTTTAAAGGGACTAGACTGAAGACGCTGCGCGCGGGTCTCTGGGTCCGTTTCGATCCGTTTCGCATCGCGTCTTGGGATCTCGGCGTCGAAACATCCTTGCTATCAGAACGCCAAGAGCCCATTCGTCTCTGTGAAACGAGTCTCGCTCGCCCGGGAGTGCCCGGACTAAGGTTTTCATGCTGAGCCCCGACAGAGCCCCTGCCGTGCAGGTAGCTCAAGTAGCTCTCGCTCAACATCGCATGAGAGACTCTCCCAGACGCTTCAACATTTGATAGTGCCTGTGAATGGAGCCCAGGTCTTTCCGTGGGTTGAGGGACAGATCAACACTTAGATCTCAGAACCAACCAGAGCATGTTGCCCTCGCAGATGCGGCAAAGCCCCGTCCATAGGGCCGAGGACTTAGGCGAGGTGCAAAGCGCCATCCGACGTACCGTCTGCGCCTTTCTCAAGAAGCCATGTGCCTTCCGCAGGCCGCAGGACCCGCAGACTTCCGTCTCTTGGTGCCAAGGTGAGGCGGAAGGGCTTCGGGGCCTAGGGGGTCGAGTGCAGGGTCTTGCCTTCGGCTCTCTTGCCATGTCTGGGGGCTAAGGCAATCTGAGAATGACACCCCTTCAGTTGCATTGTGCTTTGCGGGAAGGTCCCAATATGCCAGCATCCAACATTCATAGGTTTCGTGGCTTGTCAGACTCCTGCCTCTGGTGGGTACTCTGGTTTGTCGATCAAAAGACATGACGCGATCTCAGTCGTTTCATCTCCTTTCACAACGGTGAGGCAGAATACAAACATCTCAGGAAAGAAGTTCACGCGGCTTTGCTTCAGGTGGGGGCAAGATGGCGTTTGAGCCGCTTGAGCCCGCTCTGTGAGGGCTTGTGGCAGGTAGTCCTATCATCACTTCTCGTAGCCATTTAGGGAGATCACCACTACGAATGCCGCTCTTTGGAGCCTAGGCGGTCGGATGCAGTGCGATCATAAAGTGTGTGTCGCTGGCGCTCTCTTCGGCACCCTTTCTATCTGAGAATGTCACCCCTTAAGTTGCATGGGGAACAGAAGGTCCCAATATGCCAGCATCCAGCATCCATAGGTTTTGTTGCTTGTCACATGCCTGCCTCCGCCGGGTACTCTGGTTTGTCCGCTTCGACAGATCAAAAGACGTGACGCGATCTGTGCGCCGCGAGAAGGCTTCGCTTCCGCCGCTGACAGAGCGCGGCCGTTTGCTTCCTCAGTGATGAGCTTCAATCAGACTGCTTTCGTTCACCTCTGGCTGCAATCTCGCTCCCAAACTCGCCGCTCCACAGTGTCGGTCTGACATTCTGTCGAGTGTAACAGCCACAGCACGTAGTCTCGCTTCCTCCACGGTCGCAGAGACGGTCGTGCAGTGAGATCATAAAGTCTGTGTCGCTGGCGCTCTCTTCGGCACCCTTTCTATCTGAGAAGGACACCCTTTAAGTTGCATGGGGAACGGAAGGTCCCAATATGCCAGCATCCAGCATCCATAGGTTTTGTTGCTTGTCACATGCCTGCCTCCGCCGGGTACTCTGGTTTGTCCGCTTCGACAGATCAAAAGACGTGACGCGATCTGTGCGCCGCGAGAAGGCTTCGCTTCCGCCGCTGACAGAGCGCGGCCGTTTGCTTCCTCAGTGATGAGCTTCAATCAGACTGCTTTCGTTCACCTCTGGCTGCAATCTCGCTCCCAAACTCGCCGCTCCACAGTGTCGGTCTGACATTCTGTCGAGTGTAACAGCCACAGCACGTAGTCTCGCTTCCTCCACGGTCGCAGAGACGGTCGTGCAGTGAGATCATAAAGTCTGTGTCGCTGGCGCTCTCTTCGGCACCCTTTCTATCTGAGAAGGACACCCTTTAAGTTGCATGGGGAACGGAAGGTCCCAATATGCCAGCATCCAGCATCCATAGGTTTTGTTGCTTGTCACATGCCTGCCTCCGCCGGGTACTCTGGTTTGTCCGCTTCGACAGATCAAAAGACGTGACGCGATCTGTGCGCCGCGAGAAGGCTTCGCTTCCGCCGCTGACAGAGCGCGGCCGTTTGCTTCCTCAGTGATGAGCTTCAATCAGACTGCTTTCGTTCACCTCTGGCTGCAATCTCGCTCCCAAACTCGCCGCTCCACAGTGTCGGTCTGACATTCTGTCGAGTGTAACAGCCACAGCACGTAGTCTCGCTTCCTCCACGGTCGCAGAGACGGTCGTGCAGTGAGATCATAAAGTCTGTGTCGCTGGCGCTCTCTTCGGCACCCTTTCTATCTGAGAAGGACACCCTTTAAGTTGCATGGGGAACGGAAGGTCCCAATATGCCAGCATCCAGCATCCATAGGTTTTGTTGCTTGTCACATGCCTGCCTCCGCCGGGTACTCTGGTTTGTCCGCTTCGACAGATCAAAAGACGTGACGCGATCTGTGCGCCGCGAGAAGGCTTCGCTTCCGCCGCTGACAGAGCGCGGCCGTTTGCTTCCTCAGTGATGAGCTTCAATCAGACTGCTTTCGTTCACCTCTGGCTGCAATCTCGCTCCCAAACTCGCCGCTCCACAGTGTCGGTCTGACATTCTGTCGAGTGTAACAGCCACAGCACGTAGTCTCGCTTCCTCCACGGTCGCAGAGACGGTCGTGCAGTGAGTATGGCCCCCCTTTTTCTGACCAGCAGAAAAGTTTGCAAAGTGGAAAGTTGGAGGTTTTCTGCGGCTGCAATGAGACAAGGTGCTTCCGCTGAGATTCACAGGCATCGAGCCGGACGAGGACGGCGCCCGGCCTTGACCCCTTCGCGCCGTGCCTTCGCCTCGACACAAACATACGATAAGCAGACCTGAGTCAGTGTGGGGTCTTTCCTGCCTGACGCTGCCCTACAGCAATTTAGTTTGGTCGTGTGTCGCTGGCGCTCTCTTCGGCACTCTGTCCATGTCTGGTGGCTAAAGCAATCTGAGAATGACACCCCATCAGTGGTCTGGGGAAGAATGCACTGTGCTGGAAGGCCTCAATATGCCAGCATCCAGCATCCATGGGTTATGTTGCTTGTCAGATGCCTGCTCACGCACTCTCTGAGGGCTTGCCATATGCAGGCCTTGCTTTCGTCACAAAGACATGATTCGATTTGTGCGCTGAGAGAGAATCTGCTTGTGAGCCGGTGGCCAACATCTGCTGCATTGCTCTAATCCCGTGTGGCAGTTGCAGGCTCAGGAATATAATGAGGCTCAAAAGCAAATAATAATCCTTACGAGCTCCGAATCGCCATGTTCTATTGGGTTGCTCTCATACACCCGAACGGCGCATGTGACCAGTTTGTGGCCCGAAATAGCCAGAGCTCTGAACTCCGGGTTCACCTCGCCAGGATCCCAGAGCTTCTGTGCCTCGGATCTCCAAGTCTCAGGTCGTGGACGACAGCTGTCGGGCTGCCCATGTCATGTTTTTGCAGTGGCTCATGTTCACAGCTCGGCTGCCCTCCTGCGAGCCCGAACCCGAAGTTCCGAA